GTCTTGAAGAACTACAGACCGATTTACCTTCGGAACCGCGTCTACGTGCTGTTTTCGAGAGTCATTACGAATCGTCTTGCGCGCAGGCTTAACGACTTACAGCCTCCCGAACAAGCCGGTTTCCGAAAAGCCTTTAGTACCATGGACCACATATTTACCCTTCGGCAAATTGTACAGAAGACAGAAGAGTACAATCTGCCACTTTGCCTTACGTATGTGGACTAAGAGAAAGCCTTTGATTCCGTCGAAATTTGGGCGGTGCTACAGTCCCTTCAGCGGTGCCAAGTTGACTATCGGTATATCGAAGTGCTGAAGTCTTTATACAGTAGAGCTACGATGGCTATCCGAGTACAGAATCAGAGTACGAAACCTATCCAACTGCAGAGAGATGTAAGACAGGGTGACGTTATATCCCCGAAACTCTTCACCGCTGCAATGGAAGACGTTATCAAGCTACTATACTGAAAAGGATACGAATATAACATCATAATAACATCAATGACGAGTACATCACTCACGTTTGATTTTCCGATGTAGGCTACTTTCCTACATTATATACACACGCATATAAATACACAGATACATACGCACATATTTCTCTAAATCAACATACTCGTAATATATATAATTTTACACGCCCCTATATTCTCTCAACACAATGCACATAGCAATAGCCGGGCGTTGAACGCGCCGCCCGGAATTCCGTTAGCACAGCTGGCAAAAAGGATCGCCTGCGTCCGCGCACCGCGTTCACCAGTCGATCTACCGATACGACGCGGAACGCATGTTGCTCGCTAGCGCAAATCCTTTGTTCTCGCCATAGACTTTTAAATATTACAGTTAATATTGATTGTGCTTTTTCTAGACTGTATTTTATTATAAACTCTTTATCTTGGCTTGTGTATCTTCTGCTTGTTTGTGCTAAATTGTTTATCTCCTGCTTGTGTATTAAATTAAACATTTTATCTGTCAGTGTTGTGGACTTATTTGTATAGACTATTTAGTTGAGTCTTGTGGATACCACTGTTTTTCTCGGTATTACTATTGACGCGAAACTTCAATGGGGCCCCCATATATCTAAATTAGCTAGCAGACTTAGTTCTGCAGCATATGTTGTAAGAAAGATTAGAAGTCTCACAGATGTTGAGACAGCTAGGTTAGTGTATTTTAGTTACTTTCATAGCGTAATGTCTTATGGAATTTTGCTATGGGGTAATGCGACTGATATTGAAGCTATATTTGTTTTGCAAAAGAGAGCCGTACGGGCGATTTATAATCTAAATTGTAAAGAGTCTCTTAGAGAAAAATTTAAAGAAATAAACATATTAACTTTGGCACCGCAATATATTTATGAAAATGTAATGTATGTACATAAAAACATAAATAGCTTTAATAAGAATAAGGATGTTCATACCTTAAACACTAGGAACAAACATAAGCTTGTAATGCCACTTACTAGACTCCACAGAATTAGTAATTCATTTATGGGGCAATGTATACGCTTTTACAACAGAATCCCAGAACATGTTCAAAGTTTGTCAATAAACAAGTTTAAAAGTTTTATTAAAGAAAAACTGTACAAAAAGGGTTATTATAATATCAAGGAATACATGAATGAAAATAACCCCTGGGAATACGGTGATCGCCACCATGCTGGTTCTATGAAAATTCATTTAAAATTGTATAAACAAAATTATTGTTAAGTGAAATTATTTCTAAAAAAAAGTCCCGCTGGGTTTCTTGCTGGTTCTGCCCAGGACAGAGGTATTTTTCGAACCAGTGGTAAATAAAATAATAACTTTCAATAAGTATTATGTAATAATCCAAATTGAATAAAAATTATTCTATTCTATTCTATTCTATCTTCCTAAATTGGTGACCCCGAGCTGAATACGTATTTAATACTATAATGGCTAAACACAGAGCACAGCGGTGAGCACATGTCTATCGAGCCTTCCAACATTTGCAAAGTTGGGGTTCGTGTTCCGCCATTTTGGCCAGAAGAACCGGAGATTTGGTTTGCTCAGGTAGAAGGACAATTTGCAATTTCTGGTATTACTAATGATTCTACTAAATTCAATTATGTTATTAGTCAATTAGAACATCAGGTATGTAAGGAAATAAAAGACATTATAGTGAACCCTCCTGCCAGTGATAAATACGAAAAGCTTAAGTCAGAGTTTATTAAAAGACTAAGTGCATCTCATGAAAGGATGGTTAAGCAATTGCCCATGTATGAAGAGCTCGGTGACAGAAAACCTTCACAATTTCTCCGGTACCTGCAAAGTCTAGCGGGTCCTAACGTTCCGGATGAGTTCGTGAGGACAATTTCGACGAGTAGACTGCCAGCAAACATCCAGATAGTTCTGGCAGCACAACCGATCGCCTCGCTCGAGATATTAGCAGATTTAGCGGACAGAATCCAGGACATTGCTATATATTTGCGTCATGTAGCTACCACCAGTTATTGTGCACCTCCAACTCCTGGGTTCACGATGGATTCGATGGCCAAAGAAATTGCAGAATTAAGAAAGCAAGTGGAAAACCTAGCAAGAAGCCTTCATCGGAGATCTCGCTCTCGCACGAAATATCATGAGCGTCGCAAAGGTTCATCATCGACCCGATCTGCATCTTCCTATCGAAGGCATCCTAAATCTTGGTTCCATGCGAAATTTGGTATCAACGCCAAAAGGTGAGTTCGCTCATGTGATTTCCTGGCGGAAAACATGAAGGGCAGTCGTTAATAGCGACTGATGATTGCCCAAGTTCTACTGGTCGTCTCTTTGTCACTGACCGAAGATCTAAAATGCAGTCCCTGGTCGACACGGGAAGCGACCTCTGTGTTTTCCCTCGTGCATGGCTTCCTGAGCGACGTACGAAGACCACCTACCAACTCTGCGCAGCCAATGGGAGTGTCATCAACACATATGGCTATGTACACCTTGCTCTTGATCTTGGCCTTCGTAGAGACTTTAAATGGCGTTTTGTCATTGCCGATATAACAAAGGCTATTATTGGTGTAGACTTTCTTTCTTTTTATAATGTAATTATAGATTGTCGTAATCACTGCCTTGTAGATAATACCACAACTGTTTCTGTCAATGCTTTGTATGTTAAATATTTATATGCTGTTTCTTCCGTTAAGGTTGCGACTGGTGACACGAGCTATCATAATATTCTAGCCGATTTTCCAGAAATAACGCCTCCAGCTGGGACGCAACGTAACATTCCACATAACACCGTACATCACATTCGCACTACACCAGGTCCTCCTATTTCATGCTCCCCCAGACGTCTTGCCCCAGATAAATTAAAAATCGCGAAACAGGAATTCGAGTCAATGCTTGCTAGCGGTATCGTCAGACCATCAGAAAGCTCATGGGCCTCTCCCTTACATTTGGTTCCCAAAAAAGAGAATGGCTGGCGACCTTGTGGCGATTACATGTTGCTTAATGCTAGGATAATTCCTGAAAGATATCCGATAAGACACATCCATGACTTCACTCACAGCATCGCTGGATGTAACATATTTACTACCTTAGATCTTGTTAAGGCCTATAATCAAATACCTGTCAGCGAATTAGACATACCGAAAACCGCGATTACCACACAATTTGGTTTATACGAATTTAAGTATATGAATTACGGTTTCCGTAATGGAAGTCAAACCTTCCAAAGGTTCGTGGATGAGGTCACACGTGGTTTAGATTTTTGTTACTATTACCTGGATGGCTTTTTAATATACTCGAGGAGCGAGTCAGAGCACGAGGCGCATTTACGCCAGATATTTAACCGACTGAAGGAGTACGGGATGTTGATCAACACCTCTAAATGTGTTTTCGGTGCGTCTGAAGCAACATTTTTGGGTTATAAAATTTCCACCAATGGCCTCTCCAGGAGAAATTTCAGGCGATTAAAGACTTTCCTTCGCCCAAAAACGTTCGACAGCTCATAAGATTTCTGGGCATAATAAATTTCTACCGGCGATTTTTGCCTAATGCTGCGCGCATTCAAGCCCCCTTAAATGCATTACTTGCAGGAGCCACAAAAGGTTCACAACTAATTAATTTAACAGGAGACGCTAGTAAAGCTATTAACGATTGTAACCTAAGCCTATCTGAAGCAGCTTTACTAGCTCACCCTGACAAACATTCCAAGCTCACTCTTGTTGCATACTGATGCCTCAGATATAGCTTTGGGTGCGGTATTGCAGCAGTATAAAGACGGCACGTGGTAACCGCTTGCGTTTTTCTCACGCAAAATAAGTTCTGCGCAGCAAAAATATTCGCCATATGATAGAGAGCTTCTCGCCATCTATGAGGCCATTAAGTATTTTCGGCATATGTTAGAGGCGAGACATTTTATTGTCTATACTGACCACAAACCAATCAGTTTTGCTTTCCGCGAGAGGAAAGGCAACTATTCGCCTAGGCAGTATAGACATCTAGACTACATTTCGCAGTTCACAACCGACATAAGGTATATATCTGGTAAGGACAATGTTGTTGCCGATGCTTTATCTCGAGTTGAGGAACTGCAAGCGCCCGTCAATCTCAGTACATTGGCCGAAGCTAAAGCATCAGATCTCGAACTGGCTGAACTTCTCAAAGGTGGATCATCCCTTCGCTTAGAGAAGTATGACATTGCTGGGAGTAGAACATGTATGTACTGCGATGTCAGTACACTGAATCCCAGACCATTTGTCCCTAAAGTACTGCGCAGACAAGTCTGCATTCTTTGAGCCATCCAGGCGCGAACGCTACAGCAAAACTAGTTGCAGAGCGTTTTGTGTGGCCTAGCATCAGGAAAGACTGCAGAGAGTGGTCACGTGCCTGCTTGGCTTGCCAACGTGCCAAAGTGACGCGACACGTATCTGCACCTTTAGGCACGTATAACTTACCGCGTGCAAGGTTCAAGCACATTCACATCGATCTTGTGGGGCCTCTGTCACCATCGCAAGACTTTCGATACTGCCTCACTGCAGTTGATCGCTTTAAACGATGAAGATCGTACCGATAGTAGACATAACTGCGGAAACCGTTGCCAAAGCCCTGCTGTCTGGATGGATAGCCAGGTATAGCTGTCCAGTAGACATTGTTACAGATCGCGGTCGACAGTTCGAATCCGCTTTGTTTCAATATTTGTCGAAGATAAATGGGTTCCAGCATAAAAGAACAACAGCTTACCATCCGGCATGCAACGGTTTAATAGAGCGTTTCCACAGGCAGCTCAAGGCAGCAATCATGTGCCATGCAGATGAGCATTGGACTGAATCTTTACCTTTAGTTCTCCTTGGCATTCGTAGTGCATTTAAGGAAGACTTGCAGTCTTCGTCTGCCGAACTGATGTATGGAGAACCACTTACGCTACCTGGTGAATTTTTTGACCCCACCATAAATGTTACGTCGGATGTAATCGATTTTACAGCCAGGTTGCATAATTTTGTTAAACATTTGCAACCTGTCCCAGCTTCACGCCACACAAAAGAAAAAACTTTTGTATACAAGGATCTCGCAACTACTGAACACGTGTCTTCTTAAGAGAAGACGCTTCGCGTACGAGTTTGCAACTTGCGTACTCAGGTCCACACAAGGTACTCTCCAGAGGAGATAAGGTTTTTAAGCTCCTGGTCAAAGGAAAAGAGATGAATGTCTCAATCAACAGACTTAAAGCGGCTTATATTTTGGCTGACGGTAGCAGTTACAGTCCAATACAGGCCGCTTCCTCAAAGAATATTAAAGGGTCCCATCCGGGTCCAATTACAAGGTCTGGACGCCGTGTTAGATTCCCGGACTATTAACGACCAACCTGCGTACTCAGGTCCACACAAGGTACTCTCCAGAGGAGATAAGGTTTTTAAGCTCCTGGTCAAAGGAAAAGAGATGAATATCTCAATCGACAGACTTAAACCGGCTTATATTTTAGCTGACGGTAGCAGTTACAGTCCAATACAGGCCGCTTCCTCAAAGAATATTAAAGGGTCCCACTCAGGTCCAATTACAAGGTCTGGACGCCGTGTTAGATTTCCGGAATATTATCGACCATAAAATGGCCTCTGAGGGGGAGTAAATGTAGGCTACTTTCCTACATTATATACACACGCATATAAATACACAGATACACACGCACATATTTCTCACACTCAACATAACATATATATATATACTTTTACACGCCACTATATACTCTCAACACAATGCACGTAGCAACAGCCGGGCGTTGAACGCGCCGCCCGGAATTCCGTTAGCACAGCTGGCAAAAAGGATCGCCTGCGTCCGCGCACCGCGTTCACCAGTCGATCTACCGATACGACGCGGAACGCATGTTGCTCGCTAGCGCAAATCCTTTGTTCTCGCCATAGACTTTTAAATATTACAGTTAATATTGATTGTGCTTTTTCTAGACTGTATTTTTATTATAAACTCTTTATCTTGGCTTGTGTATCTTCTGCTTGTTTGTGCTAAATTGTATATCTCCTGCTTGTGTATTAAATTAAACATTTTAACTGTCAGTGTTGTGGACTTATTTGTATAGACTATTATCTCGCTAAACCGACTTTATAATTCCTTTGGCAGAATCGCTGGAGGACCTTAGCACTATGCTCAATTACCTCAATAGTCTCAACGGATAGGTCTTAAGATGAACATGGACAAAACAAAGATCATGTTTAATATCCATGTCACACCTATGTCAGTAGTTGTTGGGAGCACTAAACTAGAAATTGTAGACGAGTATGTTTACCTGGGACAAATAGTCCGACTAGGTAAGTCCAACTTCGACCGAGAGGTCAATCGACGGTTTCAACTCAGTTGGGCAGCGTTCGGGATATTACGGCACATCTTCTCGTCAGGTATACCTCAAAACTTGAAAACGAGACATACAACCAGTGCGTGTTGCCAGTGGTGAGCTATAGAACTGAGACGTGGTCCTTCACTGCTAGCCGGATAAGGAAGCTCATGGTTTTTCATCGAGCTATGGAGAGCTATGCTCGGAGTTTCTCTGCGTGATAAACTTAGAAATGAGGATATCCGCAGTAGAACTGAAGTGGCAATGGGCCGGCGTTATAGCTCGAAGAACCGACAACCGATGGGGAAAAAAGGTTCTTGAGTGGCGGCCTCGTACAGGCGGACGAAGTGTAGGGCGTCCCCCCACTAGATGGAGTGACGACCTGGTAAGATATGAAGGAAGTCGATGGATGCAGGAGGCTCAGGATCGTGTTTTGTGGTATTCCTTGGGGGAGACCTACGTTCAGCAGTGGACTTGTAAAGGGCTGTAATGATGATGATGTTGATGAATGATACTTACTCATTTATAAAACGATCCATATCATATATTATACCTAGTTTCTTAACATATATCAAAGTCGAATTAATATCTGGTATACATATATACATATATAGTGCATTTGTTTATGTGTCGATTCTACATACAACCACTTCTATTCAGTTAGTAGCATCCATAGTTGCGTTTTTAATTGCTTTCATTGTTTACGTTTAGGAAAGTCAAGCCATATTATTTAATTTACCCTTTCCCATTCTACAACCCGCACGGTAGAGTAAATAAATATGAGTTTTTCTGCCGACTTCCAAAAAGGAGCCGGTACTCAATTCGACTGTATGTTTTTTTTTTCGTTTTTTTTTATGTGTGTTACCTCAGAACTTTTTTCTGGGTGAACCGATTTCGATGATTCTTTTTTTATTTGAAAGCTGGTACTTCTCGTGTGGTCCCATATGAATTTGATCAAGGTCAGACCAATAGTTTTTAAGTTATTCTTAAATAACTTATATTGAAGTCGGCTGTACAAAATTTGTCTTACTAAGCAGTTATTATACTATTTAAAAATGTTTCACCTTATTTTCCGAAATGTTCATTGTATTTTATTCCATAATAACCTTGTTGAGCTGGTGTAAGAATATCTACTACTCTCTATCGTCTCGCCGGTGTCGTAAGAGCGTACGGAGGGAAACAAACTATTAAGTTTACAGCAGTGTCTTTCTCATGAAAACTAGATAAGAAAAAAACTGTGTTTGCAAACCCATTTGCCAGGCGTGGCAACTATGGCAAATATCCCCCTTTTGAGGCATTCTATGGGTAGAGCTATGTAAAGCTGGGGACTCTGATAGGATAGAGTCTTTGTAATGAATTAAATATTAATATCAAGAATAATTTTAAACATAGTATGCCCAACAATATTTTAAGAACTCGTATTTTTCGTTAATCTCTTTAAAAAACGGATTCACAGAGAATATACGGCGTGAGGCGTGAGGTATGTCATAAGAGAATACTGTATCACACATCCCAGTCGTTTTTCATGGTCTTGTAGATGTCGTGAAAGGCGACTGTGGGAAATGCTCGTAAAATATTGAGATCTCCGATAAATAGAGGCCTTTCCAAAGATGTGCAAGAAAATAATAAAAATCAATAAAAAAGTTAAATGGGACCACATATATTTAAATACAACAATAGCGGAGGCCATCAACTACGCGAGCGCTACAGTTTTATGCAGATGTAATGGTTATAATGACTTACAGAGAGTCTTTAGAGAGTTTCCAAAAAACTCAATAACTGATTTTTGATATGACTATGAGAACTAAAGTTATTGCGTTAATAGTTATTGCAATTCTGATCTCCATGTAGGTGGTAAAGTCACACTGTAGCTACATGCTGTATTAGGAGTACGAATAGGGTCGACTCTAACAGGAAAAAATCACGATCTCACAGAATTCCATCGTAAAATAGTAGCATAATATTTATATGTTTTTTTTAATATGAGTGACGATAATCAAGGCTTTTGGCTGGTGAAGAGGCATACTATTATAGTTCTCAAGCGATATTTTAATCAAGGATAGATGTAATTGTCTATGGGGCACAGTTTATTTAATTGTCATAGGCAATAAAAAAAATGAACAGATGGGCAATATAATAATGAAACTGCGAAATAAATACTAGGACATTATCTGAACAGTTAAATTAAAATCTTCATCGCCATATTTTCATCCTTAGAGGTATTTTTTTACATTCATATGAGACAAACTCTAAATTACCTATTCAATATAAAAATCATCATTTAAATCGGTTTTAGAATAAAATTTAAGATATTTTTCTTAAGGAATGTATTTCAAGTCTTTTATAAAATTAAAATTAATGTCACGAGTCAAAAATAGCTCGTATTGGTTCGTGTAAATAATACACACAGGCGGTGCGTCGCCCTTTTCTTTTTTTCTTTTCTAACTCGGCACTCCCGTGTGTCTTGATAGTGTCATTCTTTATCTACCCTTTTCTTCTTTTAAGATAAATGGCGGAGGTTTTATAAAAGATATAATATCTTTACATTTATATATATATATATATATATATATATATATGACGGCACCTGCACCGTTGTAGATGCGGTGGCGTTGGTCTAGCTAGGCAGAATTCTTGTAAACGACACGTGTACCGCACACCTGCGGAATTGCACTTGCGTTGCCGCCCGTCCTGCTTGTATAAAACGGACTGAGCGGCCGCCGTTAGGACAGTCTTGGCTCTGACGTGGAACGGTGCGCTTGTCGTATTGCGTTACTAGTTTATCCTCGACTCGTTGGATAATTAATTCGTGTAAACGAATTAATTATTATTCCTAACTACAAAATCAGTCTCTGTACTATACCCACTATATTTCCTACATCAGAAGTGGGATAAAGTCCCCATTTTTGCCCACATATAATCTTCGAATAGTATGACAATTATTACATTTGTAAAGGCTATAATGCATTTCGCATTGATGGATCTCTTTTTATGTTAAATACCGTAATGAAATTTGCTGTCCTACTTACGATATTGTCGTATTATTAGAGTGTAGAGAAAAGATAAAGTGAAATTATTTAAGCCAAAAGATAAATCCTTTTGTTCAATTTGTATTAAAAGTACCCTCAAGTATTTTCATTATTTCTGACGTACCTAAATATGTTAACAAATGGAAGAAATGTTGGAAGCTTTCTAGACGAGTTATCGTTTGCATTCAATGAAAAATTAACTTGTTCAAGTTTTGTTGTAATTTGATAGTTCATGCGAAACATGATTATCATCTGTTATATTTTCAAATTCAAAACGTTTAAGCGATGTACCAAAATAAAAGATTTACTTTAACATGCTAGGAATTGAAAATAATAAGTGACATTTTTGTGTTCTAATGTGTTGATCAGTGTTGCAGTTTGCTCCGAATACTGTGTGGTCGACAAGATTGGGGTTTGATGTCGAGAGATTCGTAGAAGTCTCTACAACAATGATCAATGAGGAAGATGTTGTGACGGCTAATTGAACATGGTCAGGTATGGCCGAGCGCTAGTAAGATTGAGCCTACACCGTTACAGTCTGTAACTTATCAGCAGATCTTACGGCAAGGCAATTCAAGCAGCCGCCGAACACATGGTCCTTTGGTGCTGTAAATGAACGTCTGAGGCTTGGTCGGCTTTCGTAATTTTGCGCAGTTGCCTCCTTCCCTTTAAAATATGTGATGGTATCCGTCCCTACACATAGTTTCCGTTTTTTGAAATGTTTT